GACACTTAGGGAAACGGATTTTTCTATTTGTTTCAATAAAACTCAAAGACAACTTTCACTGAAATAAAACTGTATTTACATCTAGTGAGGTCAAGCTGTGACTATAAATGTCATCACAATAGTTTGAAGGTAGTAAACCTATTGGTGATAAATGCTTTGGACTGATTTGTGTCACGTCCCCTTTCCTTTAGATGTCAAAATTAGCTTCATTGAAACATTGTGATAAAATTCTCACTAAATATTAAGATAAATTCTAATGGAACGTTCGAATTAGATACCATTGAATCGACAAAATCTTATGTAACATTAGGGTCAGATATCGCGGAACATTCCGACCAAATTTTATGTAACATTAGGGTCAGATCTCGCGGAACATTCCGACCAAATTTTATATAACATTAGGGTCAGATCTCGCGGAACATTCCGACCAAATCGTATATAACATTAGGGTCAGATCTCGCGGAACATTCCGACCAAATCTTATGAAACAATAGAGTGAGGTCTCACGGTGTATTCCAACCAAATTGATTCAACCATTAGGGTAATTCTTACGTAGTAATTCGACCAAATCTAATGGAAACTTAGGGTAAAATCTCAAAAAGAATTGGGGTCAAATGTCAGAGAACATTCTGGTCAGATTTCTCATAGTATTGTGTCATACATTATCATGTAATCGTTTGTAACTGTTGCCAATGTACTACAACCCCATATGCGTCAAGTCGCGCCTGAAATAAATGTAATAAAAGAACTCGAATAATATCTCTATTTTTGGTATTATGGAAGCATTGCCATGATATTTCTGATTTAGAATAATCTCTTCAGCTTGTGTATAAAAATTTGTTTTCAGTATGTGACTAGGCGTCGTTGTACGGGGGAAGGGGAGAGTAAGCTGAGAAGTGCGTTGCCTAATTACTCTTAAAATCTAACATTTATTATTGTGATCATAAACCACTAATATATTTTATAGCATAGATTTTAAGTTTTATGTTTTATTGCGTGATTAGAATAAATCTTAAAACTTGATAATAATGATAATATTTAGGTTTAAACAGTTTGTACTATTTTTTCATGTCACTTTATTACATTTTGTACGCAGTTATGTTAAGTGTTAAAAGACGTGTGTGTGTGTGTCAGAAATTCTTAATAAAAAAGCCAAATCTGCACAATATTAAATAAAGATTGTCACTATGAACAAAGCATTATAATTTCAATTTTTTTAATTACATATAATTTATAGAATAAAACCCTTTTTCCCAGCATTCCACTTCGGGGGTGCCCTAGAGGTTAGCGTATAGGAGATCTTAGATTCGAGTCGTGATTGCAGCTCAATACGCTCCGCTATTTCAGCTATGGGTTGTTATAACAGTTGCAGTCAACCACCTTATTTGATTAACAGAAGTTGCATAGGCAGAGGGTGCTGCTGGTTGAGTAACCTCCTCCTTGTCAGTAGTTCTAAATTAGAGATGACAATGCTTAAACCTTAGGGCATTTCACCTGTTCGTTTAGTCCATGTGTCGCTTTAGGTGCTGTTTGTGCTGAAAATATCAATAACAATAAATCAGCAATGCGAATTCTGGCGCACGAATCGTCTAAATATTTTCCCTTTCCCTGATTTCTTTCATAAGTTTGACTGAAATTCGTTCCTGGAGCAAGTTCCATTTGATTTTCAGGATTTCAGGTGCAGCTCGAAAGAGCTGATGCGGTATAGAAAAAAAAACTGTCGACACATCAGCATTTCAACTTCTAAATCAGCATCAGTAACCATAAATACACATTAACATTGTTCTGAACCCTTTTATAATAGAACCAAAGTGCAATATTTAAAGTAGTTTTTTGAAAAACTGTTCACGAGCTCGAATAAATTAGTCACTGCTACGCTTATACACTATCCTACCAAAAGTCAAGGGACACACCTCTGATTGCAGTAAAATGGGCGTGACGACGAAATATGCAAATAGTTTGACCTATAAAGGTGATCAGCAGTTCGCTCGGAAGTCATTTCGAAGTATTACGCTGAATGATGAGTACCAGGAAAAGGCTAACAGAGTTTCAGAGGGGAAGGATAGTTCGATGTCATTTGGGGAAAATGCCTGTAGGTGCTATTGCGCAACAATTAAACATTCCCAGGTCAACAATTGGCAACATGCTGAAAAAATGGACGTTCACAGGTAACAATGAGCCCAAGGAACTACTAGGTAGGCGTAAAGTACTGACTGACAGGAGCCGACGCGCCTTGAGAAGGCTGGTTACCTCATCTCGCCGTCAGACCCCAGAGAATCTGTGTTTGGAGATGCAAGCAGCCACAGGCAATCCTATAAGTGTTTCCAAGACACGTTTAGAGCTACACGCTCTTCCAGTCTGATGGACGTGTTTGGGTATGGAGGATGTCTGAAGAACGCTTAATAGCTGACTGTGTTGTCCCAACAGTGAAGTTTGGAGGTGGTGCTATCATGGTCTGGGGTGCTTCTCGTTGTATTGATTAGGTTCACTGGTTGCAGTGCATGGATCCATGAATTTTGAGTCCTACATTGATGTTCTGAACAATTATATGTGCCCTATATTGTGGTAACTTTATGGGACCAGCCTTTACACCTTCCAACATGATAACGCTCCATGTCACAAAGCAAGGATTTTGAACTCTTGGTTTGAAGAGAATATCATCGGAGCATTGCAATAGCCAGCACAGTGCCTCGACCTCAAACCGATAGAACGTCTTTGGGATGAAGTGAAACGCAAAATTATGGCAAGGCCAAGACGGCCCTCTTCAGTAGTGGAGCTTACTAATGCCTTAAAGGAGGAGTAGAGCACAACACCACCAGTGTTTTACCAGAAATTAGTAGACAGTCTTCCACGACGCGTTGAAGCAGTCATTAAGGCCAAAGGCTGGCCAACATATTGTTAATTTCTTGGAATACAAACATGTTTTATTCATAACTACACGTGTCCCATGATTTTTGGTAGGATAGTGTATCTCACAATTTTTCTAATATCTATGTTAACGACCTAACTTCTCAATGCAAGATAGATTTCCTTAATTTAAAAGACTTTTCATCCATTATTATCTCATCAACTCCGTGTAACCTTTTATTACCTTATTCTTTGGCCAGTCGAAAAAATAGTTAAGGATCGAACTTATATGTGAAAAAAGTAAACTTGACATTATGAACGACTAGAAACATGCTAAGAAGATGTGCCAGATTTTATCCTAAATTTACCGATTTGTTTAAATGCATTGCAATACTAGTAGGGTTAACATATTGCATCATATTGGGTAATTTTATGTAATTTCTTGTCATAAAAATCAGCGTAAAGAAATGTCCAAAAATGGGTGAAATCACGCACTTTATATGTAAAATACAGAGAAAACCTCAAAGCAGTAATCAGTGCAATTAGATATTTTTGTCTAGATTTTGTTATTGTTTTTGTGTGTATGTCTTGTATGTTATCAGTGATCCTATAACCAATAAAGTAATGGACCCACAAACAATTTTGCACATAAATAGTTTGGAAGAATGTGTTGAAAAATTTATTGGGGGCGGGGGAGGGCTATGGAAGATGGCACCAGTGCGTTAAATATTGCAAAATTTCTTAAAATGTCACCACAGAGGACTTCAGTTGTTAAAAATAACTTCCTTAATTGTTAAACCTCATACATGTAAAATCCCTTCCATGGCACTTATCAAAATCTTATAATAATTTGACAAGTCAAATCGAGACAATCATAACAGAAAACCTATTTAGTAGGAGGATTGGATAAAACATTGTATATTATGCCATATCCATCAAAAATGTTTTAACTCTAATAATATAACGTAAAATGCTCCAATGGATCCACCAGGGGGAGCCATGGTAGAACAAATACAAATAAATCGATTCTGACAAGTTTCGAGTGTTTGAGAAATAGTATTTGAAGCTTTCTTTACAGATGTAATCTACTTAGTTTACCTAATCTGTAGAGTAAAACTTCTCACAGTGATGATAAAAAATACATAAATTAAGGGACATTTGTGTCTTTTAACTGAAACACAACTTTTTATTGCATTTCGCGTAGACATGATAATCTATATAATATAAGAATTAAGTTTGTTTATTTACCTATCAGATACAGCTAGAAGGAAATATTTCCTAAAGAAACTAATGTTACTAAATTTTACGTAATCTATTAAAAGGTTCTTGAACATCTAAGATTAAACACTACGTGTTATATCGTACTATTGCACGTGATATATTTAAGTTGCTTTATATCTAATAATATCATTGTGAACCTGGAATTGGAATTTTTAATGTAAGCGACACGTTATGCGCACTTGGGCTATACGGCCGGGTTAGCGCCCCCTACGGTTCAAGTGTATCTGTTTCTACACTTTTGAGCTACTTATCAGATGTAAGATAGTCAGACAGCAGCACCCACCGTTTCGTGGCTTTGAACCGAATAATGAGATTTACTCCATTGCCGAAAGTATAGAGTGTGTATTCATGTCTCGATTCTCAGCTGACATGCTAATCATTAAGCCACCCCTGACTCTATTATGAGGCTGATGATATAAACTCATAAATGAGATTTCGCCTTATTTTGGATTTTCCGAAAATTACAGATTCGTTGAGTACGAAAGACATTTTCACACTCAAGTACAAGACTTATGCAAAATAAATTTCTAGTGAGGATATTTCCTTTCGCTTTCGGATTATGTAGTATATTCTGCAATTGAAATAAATTTAAGCAGTAAAGGAGCATATTTTACATACTTCTGTAAAAAGTAAGCATACATGAGTGTGTACAACAGTTTGTAATGTAAGAAACTCTTCTTGTAAGTATTACTTTAAGATTTATATCACAACTGTCGTCACCACTATTCTTAAGTTACACCGTAGATTTTTTGTAATGAGCTAGTTTTTCCTAGCGACCTATATTTTGAGGTTTCGAGCTTTATGAATATTTGTTATTCAGTTTTTAGTGCTAAACAATCTAGATCGACCTTGATTTTTCTCTACTATTCTAGATTCGAGAAGATTGGAAATACGTAGCTATGGTGATTGACCGGCTTCAATTATACATATTTTTTGCCGTAACCACGGCAGGGACAATAGGGATCCTCTTAGATGCGCCCCATATCTTCCAGTATGTAGATCAAGACAAAATTATTGAAATCCATAAAGGGAAGCCGACGTGAGCTTAGTGGCTACCGAAGACAAAGGACTTGTATTCAGCTTGTTCCACTGTAAATTAGAGAAATCTCTTGTGGTAAAATTTAAGACGAAGGAACAAACAACTAAAACATCTTTGTCTAATAATTTAACGGGCAGTAAAAACGACGGGTACCATTATCTTAAATCCTTCGTTCGTGTTTTTTGTTATACCACAAACTCATTTTCTTTTTTCATCAAAGTAGAAGAAGTCAGATATTGTTTTAACCCGAATATGATTTACGTTTTCTTTTATCCCTTATCAGGAAGTGAGAATCTATGCTTCTTTCTGCATCTGAATAGGAAGATGTAAGATTAACACGGAGTAAGTTAGCACTTGAGCGATTTTTTCATTCTCTCTTTCAGCGTAAGTTTTAATGCAATTAGCACAGGCCATGATTTGTTAACACTAAGCCTGTCAGGGTAAGAATATCGAAAGTCTTAGTGTTTTGAGCTGGAAAGTTTATCTACTACGCACGAAAGATTTATTTTCACAACTTGTCTTCGGGTTCTTCCAAGCTAGCCCCAACAACTCTTTGTTGTACATACAATAATTTCCACTAGCCAGCACTAAATATACCCAATAGTTTATTAGCGATTTTCTTATAGAAACGTGTTTGTCATTCATTCAAGTCATAAATGCTCAAACAACAAACAATTTTATCAAATGTGAAAAAGAAGCAGTGTTTTTCTTCTGTAATTCATATCTACAACGATGGGAAAATACACATTTTGGCAGGGTTACTGAAACATGTATTCACTTTTCCACAGTTTTTAATAATTTAAGGAATATCAATCTGGTAAAGATACGGTGCTCTCATATAAGGTGAGTAACTCTTATTCACCAAATACTGTCAGAATTTTCTGGTACAATTTGCACTGAAAGCAAAAGGCAATTTGTTTGATTGTTTTTGTTTTTTAAATCACGACACATCAAGATACTGGATAAATGTTTATAGTCACGATAATGTAAAGTATGGTTTGAGAAATTTTACTTTCAAAGTCTTAACATCTTGAGTCGTAAATTAAGCAAATATCCGAGTATTATATAGTGTCAAGAAAAATGCTGCATTCAGTCACAATATCAAAGGTCTAAGAAACATAGATATTTTCTTGTGACAAAATATAATGTGTAAGCCTCAATATCGTTTATTTTATTTTAAAAAAAACATTCCGGTGAATAGTGATTTTCTAAATTTATCAGCAAGAACGGCAAATTTGTCTTTAATTACTAAGTTCACAATTAAGTTTTATATGTGTATATTATAATAAACCTGCATTAACTTCATAATCATGAAAACGTATACATAAAGACAAAACAAATGTTAAAGCATAAGCTATATGATTTTAGAGATATTATAATTTAGATTATAAGTAAGTCAACCAGTAAAAATATCCAGACAGTCTTAATAATGTGCTCAGTGATGACTTCTCATCATCAATGGATTGCACTTTCACGAATGTCGCTAAATTTTTGCAAAACTCACTCTTAATTTTCTATAAAACTTTATCCACCTACCAAAGAACCGTAACCTTTAAATATAATAGCAAAAATACAAGATTCATTAGTTTTGATATAATCAATGATTTGTGGAATAGTTATAAATCAACTGAAGTATTAGATATAGGTCAGACGTGGATTGAAATTAATAATACTATCATTATATTGTATTACTCGGACTTGTATTATTCATCATAGAACAAGAGAAACAAGAGCAGACACCAAAAGTAGCCTTCCATTATAATTGAAACTCGTTATTTTTCTCTACAAAATATGTTCAAGTAGTTGCATGACTTAAGCATGATTTCTTTGACAGGTAACAAAACTGTGTGCAATGTTATATTAATGTATTGACGTTTGGTGCCCTGTGAAGCGTACTGATGTAAATATACGTATTTGCAACTGTATCTTTGTACAGCGAAAAAAACAAACGTGTTTTTTAGGACTGATTGGAGCAATAAACTCCATAAAAATGATTCCCGACTTAAAGTTTTACCGCACATAGCTGTGGTTTTAAAAAGTCCTACATTCCCTAAACCAGAATGACTCTTTCTAGATATATATACCTATGATTTCGGTATCGTTTTGTAACCTAGATGTTATTGAAAATATTATACTTTTGCCCATATTCCTAACTAATCTTGAGAAACACATGACATTTTTATTTAAATCTATTGATATAACACCTTCGTTTTCTTACCTAATTAAAAAGAAATTTTTGAAGTTTTATTGGAGTGTAATAAAAATGAAATAATGAAATTAAAAAAAGTTTTATTTTTATATATATTTATCAATACATTTTACGTTTCTCAGCTTTTACTGAAGGTCCTGGTGTGTATTATAGAAACAGATTACGTAACTATATTTTATCATACCTGGACACACAAATTTAATCCTAATATATATATATATATATACAAAATTAAAATATATTGTTATAAATGACAAAAACGTTGGGTAATAATTAGTCTAGTTTTATTGATTATGACCAATGACGGCAGGTATGGCCGAGTGTTTATAGCTGCCACAACAAATAACGTATTTTGCATTTTGGGTAGTGGGTGCGTTAAAAGAGTGACAGTCAAATCCTACTATTCTGTTAAAATTGCTTAAGAGTTGACGACAGATGATGTCAATTAGCTGACTTCCTTCCCTCTAGTATGTCAGTTCAAAAATTAATGTCAACTAGCTTAAATACCCCTTGTGTACCTTTGTGCGAAAATTCGAGACAAATCAAACCAAACTGATCAACTACAGTTACAAGCACGGTTCAACTTCATAAAACATTTATAAACTAAATAAAAACTTTGTAAAACTAATATATGTATTTGTACATAGACATAACCATATATAGGCTATAGGCAAATAGCGTCACACAATATGGGCCTGGTAAAGTATACTTTAGTAACATAATTTTATGCAAATAAGGACCAACAGAGCAGTGGAGATACAACAACGATCAAAGTCAGTTCCTGTCTGAAAGTTTTACAAAGACTAAAAATATAATTTAAAAATTACGAGGATATACTACTGCGCAAGTATCACACCTAAAACTACTGTTCATTGTCTGCAACCACTTGTATTACTTTTAACGAAACATAAAAGCTAAATTTGAAATAACTAAATCATACGGTTCGATAAGTAAAACTTGTTTTTAATAGTTGATATTAATGTGTATAATTGTTCCGTATTAACGGTATATTGAAACCTTAGATATTTAAGCTAAGACTACTACTGATATAAGAAAGAAAAATTGAAATTTACCCTCCTAAATCATCATGACGTAGTGCATCTTAAAGCATTCTTTACCATCTCCACATTGCAATTAATATATTAGATCTAGGTTTATTTGTGTTTCCTTTTCGAGCAAAATTTTGTGCTTTCTGTTCAATTACTTTTTAAAACATTAAAAGATCACCCAATATAGGGATATTATGTTGTGTCGATTGCATTCCATTTCTTTTGAATGTTAAACTTACCAGTAGCTCTTAACACACACAAAGTGAAGATTTACAATTTTTCTCTAACGATGCAAGTATGGTTCTTAATACACAGAAATTCTTAGTTTTCAGATGGGATTTTTAAACATATAGTGCAAATGTTATATATCTTTTACTATCTTGTTATACCAATGCGGTATTTTGTATATAAAAAAGCAAAGGTTCAATTAGTTCCAATTACTTCTATAAAAGTTTGGTTCTTAATACCAAAGGTAAAATATCTTCTCTTAATGGTGGATCTTAACAAAAGACGCAAAATAAATCAGTTTCTTAATAACCTGAATTCAAGTTCAGTTCTTAAACAAGTGTGGTCCGGAATATGGGAATATTTAAAACTTGTTGTCAACGAGGAAGCAATAACCTTATTTTGTGAAAGTTTTTTTTTATCTTTAATAATTTGATTCAAACATGAGAAATTCGCCAAAGCTTTGTAGGTCTATTTTTTAAAACGTAGCCGCTTAATATGCAATATGACTTTTAAATGCATGATGTACACGTGACGCAAAAAATAAAACTTCCTAAAAATCGCTATATAAAATCATTTATTCTGAAAAAAAAAAAGACACATACGCGACCTTTACTTTGATAACACGCCTAATGCAACTACACTGAGGAGTCACAAGTAAATA